CCTAACAAAGTGTTCCTCTAATACATCTGTCTTCCACAGACACGGATACTACTCCAGACAGTAAGGTGTCGCCCACAATTATGGCAACTCTCTCCTCAAAGGGTGTTAATTCATTTCCTGTTCCCCCGCCTGTTCGGTCAACACTTTGACGGTGCACCACTGTTCTCCTCTTAACCTGCACCTTTACATCAAACCATTTCTTTTTTAATTCGTTCACAGTGCGTTTTTGTACAAGTTTTTGTATATAAGGCCCCAGGTGAGAAGGGGAGGTTAGGATATTGACTCCAGTCATGCTGACATGCAAAAACTCGAACGTTAGAAATAATGGGCAGCTAGTTGAGAGAAGTAAAGCTCCAGGGGAGCTTGATCATCTCCCTCTACTCTTTCAACTAGTAGGCAGCTGACTGTTTGGTGTGGTCAACTAGTAGGCAGACCAGGACCCCAATTTTGTCTATACAATGGACGCGTGTTGGTCTTCTAATGTGGCTTCAATGGGCCCCCCTGTCTAAAGATCTGTAAATAATCTTTTTGCTTGCCACTGTATTATTCATTCATAATCTGCTTTCTATCCACTCGCGAGGCAGTGGCGTAGTAGGTAGTGCTATCGCCTCACAGCAAGAAGGTCGCTGGTTCGAACCTCAGCTCAGTTGGCGTTTCTGTGTGGAGTTTGCATGTTTGCTTCGCGTAGGTTTTCTCCGTGTGATCCGGTTTCCCTCACAGTCCAAAGACATGCGGTACAGGTGAATTGAGTAGGCTAAATTGTCCGTAGTGTGTGTGTGAATGTGCGTGTGGATGTTTCCCAGAGATGGGTTGCAGCTGGAAGGGCATTCGCTGCGTAAAAACTTGCTGGATAAGTTGGCGGTTCACTCCGCTGTGGCGACCCCAGATTAATAAATGGACTAAGCCGACAAGACAATGAATAAATGAATGAATCCATTTATGCATTTTTATTATATATTATTCAATATGGTTTATGAATATCATGTTTATTATTATTATTATTATTAACTAAATCAGCTCTATGTACCAGCAATAAACAGATTTATTGCTTGATTTGTATGGTGTACAGACCTTTTATTGGTACCTTCTCTTGTTAATGAGCACCAGACCTGTCTCACTCAAGTGAAAATACAAACCACACTAAAGCCATTTTATATGATGAAACACTTCAGATACTAATAATTTGGGCATACTAAAACACCTCCTCTTGCACAAATTAATTAAGCTCTGTGTGCTCACATCTGTCAGTGGATCACCAGCTTTCTGAAATATAGGCAGCTGCTGGTAAAGATGGGAAAATTCTCATCCAGTGCCCCAGGGATGTGTTTTCTCTCTACCGCTCTTCTCCCTCTACACCAATGATTGCACCTCTACAGACTCCTCTGTCAAGCTACTAAAGTTTGCAGACAACACCACAGTCATCGGCCTCATTTAGGACAGTGATAAGTCTGCTTATAGACAGGCAGTTAAAGAGTTGACTGTCTAGTGCATTCACAACAACCTGGAGCTTAACATGCTTAAAACAGTGGAGACTATCGTGGACTGCAGGAGGAACCCCCCTTTTCTCCCCCCACTTACCATCATGGACATCAGTCATTTAGGATTCTGGGCACCACCACCTCCCAGGAGCTGAAGTGGGGCACTCACATTGACTCCATTGTGGCCCAGCTAAGACTGTACTTCCTTCATCAGCAGAGGAAGTTCAACTTGCCACAGGAGCTGCTGAAAGAGTTCTACACTGCCATCATTAAATCCATCCTTTGCACTTCAATCAGCTTAGCTACCAAATCTGACTTCTGAATACTATGTCAAATAGTTCGGACTGAGCGAATCACTGGTACAAGCCTCCCTACTCTGAAAGAATTGTACTTATCCAAAGTAAGCAAAAGGGCTGGTCAAATTACAAACCATGGTTCACTCTGGAGCCCTTACATCCAGCACATTTGAAGTTTTACCATTTGGTCTATGCTACAAAGCACTGTGAACCAGAACAGCCAGACACAGGAACAGTTTCTTCCCTAAGGCAATCCATCTAATGAACACTTGATCATAATTGAGGAGCAAACACTATTTACACACATACACCTATTTTATTTAACAACATACATAGTTAACATTTTAATTTGCACATAATATAGATATACATACAAAATTGTATATAGTACTATACTGTACATGTGTGTCAAAAATGTATAGTCTTTTATTCCTTTATTATCTGTGTCTTTTTGTCCTGTCACTGTCATTATGTTTTACAACAACAAATTAATTGTATGAGTAAACATAGCTGGCAATAAAGCTCACTCTGTTTTTGATTTAAGAAAAAGCAAAAGAGGGTGACACAAAGCGAGTTGTCCATGTTGTTGTACCTGTGAAATTAATTTATATCTGATACTTTCCAGTTCCTGGTGTGGTGAGAATGTTTTTCAATTTATGAAGTTTGAGTTTGTTTATTAAGATTGCTATATAAAGTTAGCGTATTTATACCAAGAAACAAATTACTCCACAACTAATTTAAAGGACCGTTTATACAGACATAAAACATTCAAATAAAGTTTCATTTAGAGTGAAAGAGCACAAAAGCAACTTATTTCAAGATGGTCAAGATGGCTGAGAGATTTAGGGCCATATCATACACCTGGCAAAATGTGGCGCGGCGCAATAGTTGTTTGCTAGTTTCAGCTTAGCGCAAGAGTCGTTTTGACGTTTTGCGCCACGCTGTTTAAAAAGCAAATGCATTTGCGCTCATATGTGCACCCATAGGAGTTCTGGTCTAAAAAAGAAGGCGTATTGAGGCGCATTGCAGCACGTTACTATTTTAAGGAACTTAAATAGAAGGTTCAAATAGATCAGATCAAAGCTGGTCTATTGTCCACCACAGAGCGCATCAGTTGTGCACCTCGCTTACACACTGCTTAATACAGACAGGGTGTACAGCAATACGCAATTATCTTTACAAATAAAAATATTTAAAATATTTAGGATATATATATATATATATATATATATATATATATATATATATATATATATATATATATATATATATATATATATATATATAGAGAGAGAGAGAGAGAGAGAGAGAGAGGATTTAACAGGGATATATAGCCTATAGGATATATATATAGGATATATATAGGATTAAAATATTACAAAACATTATTTTCTAGCCTACATAAATATAAAAACCAATCTGTGCGTACAAGGTTTCCCTATCCATGAGAGCGAAAGTGAAAGTAGATAATATGAAGGCCTTATCTCTCATTCTCGCACTGCAAATGCTCTGTTTAACTGTTTACTTGCAAGTGAAATGCTTAGTTTTTCCAATTACAAAATCCGTCATGTCCGTCATTAGGTTACTTATGTTAATCATTTTGTTTTAGTTAAGTAATATTTATTGGTAAATTAAATAATTTGTGCATTCATATATTTATATTTGCTTTCTTATATCTCTAAAAAATTTCACACAGAATTTTTTCTTAATTTCTAAAACATAAGTATTATTACAGCATGCAATGTTCATTAAGAATTATTTTATTTTATTTTATTTTAAATATTTTGTTTACAATTAATGTGTAGGATCTACTAAGTATGTTATTTCAGGTTTGTCAAAATTTTGAAAATATATCAGGTTTAATCAAAATATATTTTTAAAATGGTTGTCAATTGTGTTAGGTGTTTGGGTAAAAAATTAATAAAAAACGATTAATTTAAAGGAAATTATATTTGGAGTATAACTATTTAAAGTAACTGTACATGGTATTTTAAAACGTCAAAAAGTGAATTACCTTTTTTACAGTTGGTTTTGCAGAAACTGTGAGATTTTAAGGTAATGGAGATTCATTTAGGAAATTGTGGTGGTAAATGTTAAGTACAAAGTTTTCAATTAATGCAGACAAATGCTCCAGACTTTCAGACTTTTTTTCCCGAATATCAGGAAAAAAATCAATTGTAAAAAAAAATTATTTCATGATTGAGATTTTTAAAACAAGGTTTCTGTGAGAATCATTCTATATACAGTTGATGAACTCTAGGCCAAAAGCCAAATGAGAGTACGTTTGAGTAATTTCCACAAGAGTCAGAAATTAACTTCTATTTTAATGGTGAGATAACATAAATATAATGAACTTCAACAAATTTACAAGGCACACATAAACACTACTGCTGCAGCAAACATTTAGGAAGGCAACTTAAAGTAAATGGTCTTATATAATTGCAATTTGATAAACTTTTTTATTCAATTAAATTTTAATATTGTAGTTCATAAGCTACTCAAATTAGCTGTAAAATCTATTTTAAAGCTAATTTATTTGTAAATATTTAAATGCAAATGTTTTATTTAAAGCCCCTATTAATGTTATTGACAACTCAAAACTCTTAAAATATATCAAATTCAAATATAATATATAATATGAACAAATTATAAGCAACAAAAACAAAGTAGTTCCATCGTAGTGACCCAGAAAATAAACCCCACTCATCTCTCAGAGAATGCACAAGTTAATCTTTCCTGCCTGAGTATTTTGGAACATCCCAAACACACAGTGGACTGTGGTACTGCAGATCCCTAGCCCTAACTATTCCAACTATTAGGCCCTGCCAATCTGGAAGCTTTTAAACATGGGTGAACATGGCAGCACACATGGGTAAGGTATCAGAATGAACTGATAAATGAAAAAAAAATCTACCATTCTACAATCCTTGTAGCTCCCCAGACAATGCTGTCCCAATGATGATTTTAAACCCGGATAATAAAATTAGCAGGCAAAAGCAAAATTATTCAGTTTTCCCCACAAGTTTTTAAAGCTAACAGGTCCTAACATTGTCTTAATTAATGCTTAACACACATAAAACTGTTATAATATAAAAAGTAGTCAAGGGTTTCAAGAACCTTTTAACTGTTTATCTCACATGTAGAAAATAGTAATAATAAATAATGGTAACTGTTTAGTTTTGAAATGTAATGTATCATAACTATAATATTTATTGTACTTCCTTACCAGTGGAAGACCTAATCCTGCTCTAGCCCAGTTCACAGAGGACAGTTGTTCTCTGAGCATGTCAGCAACAGGACTAGCCAGGTTTCGGGGTGGAAACACAGGACCCTGGCATGTTGGGCACTGGTATCCATCTGGTGCCGTGTTGAGAGGTTGATGAGAGGCCAACTCATTCAGACACGACCAGTGGAACAAATCTTACAAAAGAATAAATGTACAGACATTTATTAAAATTAATGACAAACATTTATCTAAGAATATACCACATTGAAGCTCCTAATGTAGTCAATTAGTGAAGAATGTTTTTTTTCTGAATTTGTGTTTAAGCACTGTAAGATAGGTCTCATTCACTAATAATTGGATGAGTTTATCAAATTTAAAACTGAAACATCTGAAATTCTCATCAAAACTTCCCATCTAAATCGCAACACACATGTAAGCACGTAGGTTTGTTCTTAAATTCGTTTTTCTGTTAGTAAAATTAGATTGATCTGATAATACAGCTCAAAAAAGCTTCAAATATAGGGCTTTCCTTGGAGCAGCACTTGTCCAAAGTTAATTCTGAGACAAATTATGAAATAAGAAGAGAAAACTAAAGATAAGGCACGGAAACTAAAAAAAAAATTAATGACGGATATGGAACACGCTTTCAGTTCAGAAAATGCAAGTTGCACTGCATTTTTGTTGACTTTAAAAAAAAAACTCTCTTCGTTTTATGATGCTAGGCCACACTGCATCAACAGTCTTGATGCTCAGGTGTTCCTTCTGCAGAGGTAACTTTTTCCGACTGCAGTGACATCAAGTGCTCCGTCAAAACACGAGACACAGTATGCAAACATGAGATGTGTGTAGTGTACATATAATCTATTGCGTATGTGTGATGTGTGGCATAGATTATTGCGCTCGCATGGTATAAGTTGTTCTTTAATGTTTTCTTAAATTTAAAGTACATTTTAGTACACAATTTTTGATTAATCGAGATTTATTATGTAAACTGTCTATACACACATTTAATGCAAAAAAAAAAAATTGTAAGCATGTTTAATGAATGAAACCAAGTGCATTTATTTTCTCACCATAACAAACTAGTCGAACAGTATCCTGGGAATCTAATGGTTGGATGCACAAACTGCAGTTAGGGTTGTAATCACTGTCTTGTAGCCACTGTAGGTATGACTGTACAATACACTGTATAAAAAAAATCACAATAAACAAACTTTGATTATGAGCTCAAAATATTCTTGCAATGCCAAATTGAAAATCCTGACATCATTCAAAACAAGTTAATTAATGAAATGCAATAATACCAACCTTGTTGTGATTAGACACAAGACAGTGCTCACACACGTTGACACGGTGTTTAAAGCAAAACAGGTTTGTTACCTTCTTCTTAGGGCACTTGCACAAGCCCATGGTGTCTCCCTATCAAACAAAACATCACATCATTATGTGTGTGATAGATATGTGTGTGCATATTTATATGATCCATATATCTATATTTGTAAAAAGAGGCAGTCAAAATTACAGTTTTTTTCTGTTATGTCAAATTCCAGGATGTTAAATAAAGGTTGTTTCATGAAGACATTTTGTAAATTTCCTAAGGAAAATATATCAAAACTTCATTTTGACGAGTAATTTGCATAACTAAGAACTAAATTTGGACAGCTTCAAAGGCAATAACGTTATTTATCATGTCAATTTGTTGTTTGTTTTTTAAACTGTTAGATTCCAGATTTTTTAATAGTCGTATCTCGGCCAACTGCTGTCCAATGCCAACAAACTAAACATCAGTGGAAAGCTTATTTATTCATGTAATGTAATGTGATGCGTTTATGCTTGCATATACCCTAGTTAACGTTACGTGTTTGATTTAAATTTAATTATAATGTAAAACTGGCATTTAAAATGTAATATACAACATTTAATATAAACCTTTAACGTTAAACATATTCGCTTTCCTTTGCACTTAACTAACGCTAAAGGTAAACAAATGGTCTCATGTTACATCGGAAATAGATAAAGAGTTTAAGATTGATGTAAATATTACTGATACGGGAGCTGCTCGCAAATACGTTGATTAACATATTATTAAAACAATAACGTTACTTCATATATGCGTGTGTGTGCATATGACAATAAAAAAATATCGGATAACAAAATGTTGCAAATACCAAGACAAAGAGATTAACTCTTTCTCAAATGGTTCAGTATTTCTCAAAATATCATTACCACTTCTCCCTTGGTTGCTTTGTTGCCACGTCCTTTCCGCTTCCGTCGCAGGGTAATGTCGTCAGATTAATCGCTTACTCTGGCTGGCTGCTTTCTAAACCATAATGTTACGTCCTAAATTCGCATTATACTACGCCCTAAAAAAAAAAAAAGTTTGTTTGTCGGGAATACTTTAGAGAATGGAAGCTTAAACTTTCTTGATTTCACAACGTTAAACAATACCTTTAAAATAAATTATATAAAGAACTGTCTCAATAACCCATTGTCTATATGGAATCTGATCCCTAATTTATTTTTTTCCAAATTAGGTGGATTAAAGTTTTTTTTTAAGTTTAATTATAATATTATGAAAATCCCCATAAAATTGCCCTATTTTCATAGGCAAATGTTATTAACTTGGTCCCTCATATTTAAACACAATGTTACACTTTATTCATACATAATTTGGAATAATAAGAACATCTTGTATAAAAACAAATCTCTATTCTTCAATAACTGGTTTAAAAAATAATATAATTTATGTGTCTCAATTTTTTAACGATAGGGGTTTACTTTGTAACTACTCTGAGTTTTTAGTTAAGCACGGAATTCCCATAAGCCCAAAAGACTTGTTGCTGATGATATTCCACAAGGTGTTTTTATGCTTTTTAAAGGACTTTCATTTCCAATTACTTGTCATTCAGTGGACCTTTGGAAAACATTTATTGGTAAAAACTGCCTATTACTGTGCCTAATGTGATGTCATATTGGAGTGGTTTTGTGAATGATATTTCCTGGAAGAAAGTTTGTCATTACCCCACAAATTTTTTATAACAAACAAAATAAGAGAAGTTACCTTTAAACTGATTTATAGATGCTATTAATCTTAAAAGACTTAAGAATGATATTAACACCAACTGTTCATTTTGCTTAGTGAATCCTGAGACGTCTGTTCATTTATTTTGGACTTGCCCTCATTCAATGACATTTTGGTGTGATGTTCTTGATTTTATAAAAGTTTATGTGAAGGCAGATTTTGAATTTACATATAAGAATGTTATCTTTGGTTTCCATGATTGTGAAAAGGAAAATAATACTTATTTCATGAACCTTGTTTTTTGTTGGCCAAATTTCATATTCACAGGAGCAAGTTTTGTAAGTGTAAACCTTTTTTCCCTAAATTTAAAATTGAAATGAAAATGTATTTTGAGTGTATTGAAGGATCAATCAACTTAAAAGCAATACGAACAAGGACTTTGATTAAGGACTTGGCACTTATCTTGGACTAAATGACTAAAAAACCGTGGATTGTTGCTGTTTGATTCATGACATTTGTTGTTATTGTTTTTCAAGCATTCAATAAAAAAATAACAAAAATAAAAAAGTTTGTATTTTTTTTAATTGAACATACAGTAATGTACAACAACTTGGCATTATCAGTACACCTTTACATTACAAATAAATGGAAACAGGTGAAAAATAAAGAACATATAATGTTACATAAAATAATTATAAGTAAATACATAATTAAATCTAAAAACAAATTAATAAATAAAAAGGACTTGGCGTTTTATACTGTAATTTATAATTTTTTTTTTTTTATCAAAGACCGAAGATTAATTGCACTTTTTGTTTTCATTATCTTAAGAGATTTTAAGAGATTTTGTATATGAAAGAATCTCACTGCGTTCGCGTGGGTTTCCTCCGGGTGCTCCAGTTTTTCCCACAGTCCAAAGACATGTGGTAGGCTACTGGTAAATTGGGTAAAACTGGTAAATATATATATATAAATATATATATATATATACACACACACACACACACACACAAGTATTATAAGTTCTGGGTGGAGTAATATGTTTTGTGTTTTAATGATGTCTAAGTGTATGTATGCTGTAAAGTATGTTATGATCAGTGTCAAAAATTTATTTCAGCTCTTTACAGTAAAGTAAATTAAAAGTAAATTATCATAATGGTAGTGGAATTAAAATATATGAAAACAGACAGATAAATATGCAGCAGAATACAGACAATAACAAAAATGTGTCGTGATTAATGATTCAATAAAATAACTACAATATGCAGTTAGCAAATTGTATAATAATAATATTATACAATATGTTGTATAATAATAAGACAAAATAATAAATCAATCAATGTGTTAGTTATTAAATGTAATGTCTTTAAACAAAGTTTGTGTGTTCAGTTTGGTAATGTGGTACATCATTATTTTGTGGAAGACAGACACAACTAATAAAAAGAAAGAAAAATTATGATTATAATGCCAACTAAATGTGATTTGATTTACCTAATACACGTTCGCTGATATAGAATAATATAATATTATAAAATGTAATCTTCCATTTCCCAGCACTGAAGTTTTGCAGGCAGGTTTCTTGACGTGTTATAGAGATGTTCTTCAGTTCTCCTTACTTATCTGATCTCTGCGGCTGCGGTCGAGCTCCTTTGGCAGATGTAAGGGGCCTATTAGTCCTATGACAGAACTAACAGTATGGGATAAGATTAAATGTGTGGAAGCCTTCTCTCACACAGCTGAAAAATTTTGTTTCATAAATCTAATTTTGACTTGACTTTATCTATCTATCTATCTATCTATCCATCCATCCATCCATCCATCCATCCATCCATCCATCCATCCATCCATCCATCCATCTATCTATCTATACACACTTTACATTTAATAAATTAATTTTTTTTTACTTTTTTTTTCAACTGTGTAAATTATAACATTTCATCTTAATGTCAAAAAGCACTTCTAAATCATAACTATTACATTCCTTCCCTTTTTTTGTCTAAGGTGGGGGAAGGAAAGTAACAAAGTAAACAAAAATTTAGAATTTAAGGGAAAAGGACCTAAATTAATGAAAATTGTAAAGTTTAAAAACAAAATTTGAGGGAACACTTTAATCCTCTACCTCTGAAATGTGTAACAACCACAAGAGTAACCTTAAATCTTTAGTTTTCATTAAATCAACAATAAAGGATACACAAGTCTTTAGGAGAAGAATTAACCAAAACAAACAAAACTAGTTTAGGAGAACTATCAAGTAATCTAGTCCAGGTAAATGAAAAGAAATAAAACAACAAAGGCTTTCCTTAACTCCCTTACTATGAACAAACAGTAAAACAAGTACAAAAATAAAAACGGCACTCTCTCCCTATTGTAAATCAAATATTCAGACAAAGAAACAATAGTTAACTTTTGAAGACCACACACAAAAAAAATAATTTTAAATAATACAACTACGAAAGCAGACACACTGCCTATAAAGCTCCACAATAGAAACACCAAGTTTTTTCAAAGACAGAAGTTAAATTGAACCAAATAGCTTATTAACTTCTCATGTCACACAACAGGTCAATACCCACAAAGTATGCAATAACCACAAGTCTGGAGCAGAGGAGAAGTGAACCCTCTCCTTGGGTTGAGACACATTGCTCTTTTGTAGCAGCGCGTCACTGCAGCACGCTCCAATTTATTCATATTCCCAGGGAATTATATATTTTAAAAAAAGAGGTATATAATTAGTTTTAAGCTGTGAATCTATTTACCAACATTGAATTCCCTCTAATTTACAGAAATGCAATTTTACATAAATTCTCAAAAAACACCATTCATACTTTGAAATAAATATTACAAAAATCTACAAAAACCAAAGTAGATTATTTTAAAGCTATAAGTGGGATGTATCTGTCAAGTGAATATTTAGTTAGATTTGGGGATGAGTCTAATAAATGTGTTTTGTGATGATATTGAAACAACATATTTGTTTTTTTCTATATATATGTGGATGCATTATGGTCAGATGTTTATGACCGGTTTACCCAAAGATTCCACACATAAGGATCTTTAATGTGAATGACATAATTTATAAATTAACTTGTTATGGATAGTAAAAAAAAAGATGCCTTCTTAATCAACAACAAAGCTTGGAAAATTCTACAAACACAAATCAAAATATTTTAAGGTGAAACTAACATTTTGTGCCTTTTAGAACTGAGATTCTTACATAAATGCCCTTAGGAAACAAAAACAAAAGTGCAATTAATCTTCTTTGGTAGAAAAGTATAAATTGCAGGAAAAGCCCTTGTCCTTTTCATTTATTTTATTTAGTTATTAATTATTTTTATGTAATGCATTATATAATTTGTTTTTTTTAATAATGTAAAGATGCCAAGTTATTTGCATTACATTTTACTCAATAAAAATATATGGAAGTCCTAAGATACATTAAAATATTTTTTGTCTTGTTTTCTCTATCTCGACATAAAAAAAGTTCAGTTTCAGCTTATTCTACTATGTTACGCATATCACATTATTTGCAGCTTTCACTTCTTAAAAGTAACTGAAAATAACTTGCAGAAAGGACAATCAAATAAAAAAAATAAACAAAAAAAATTCTTCATAATCCAATTCATGCAACAATTTTTGCACTTATACTCTAAAATGAGTACAGTTAAGGGATAATTAGTAAATAATTATTAATTATAATCATATACATTAATAGTCATGAATTTGATTGATGATACATTAATTATTAGCATAATTGGCTGCTCCGAACTCTCTTAATACGTGTTACGCGAATTGTGCAGACTCTGCTGCTCTAGCAAAACACTCATGTTGTTCTTTCTTCATACAATCATTAAGTTACATGTGGAAGATTGTTTTAAAGGCCGAATTAGGTAGAATTTGGTGGTCATACATTGGGCCAAATAATTAATAATATTGATAAGTATAAATAATAATACATGAAAGACAAAAAATTTGTGCTCATGATAAAACTATGTTGAGATCACTAGTTTTCTCAAGAAAAATTATTTGAATGCATGGCCTTTTAAGACTTCCATAGTCATAACATGATATAAGGTAAATGTATTCTCACCAAAATACTTTTTTTTTATCTGAGTACTTTGAATAAAAGTAAAAAGATACAGAAAATACCTTTGCCTGGATGTTCATTATCAGTATATCAATATACCAGAGTTATGTTTGAATGGAAATGTAAAAAAAAAAAAAAAAAACAACAACAACATTGTACTGATCTATTTTTTTGCATCTACAGTAAATCCTATAAAAAAAAAAAAACTATTTAAACATCAACATTTATAATCGGCGGTATGGTTTTACAGTGTTTAGTGTTGCCTCACAGCAAGAAGGTAGCTGGTTTGAGTTTAGACCATGAGACATTTCTTTGTGAGTTTGTCATGTTCTCCCGGTGTTCTCTTTGGTTTCATCCGTGTGCTCCGGTATACTCCACAGTTCAAAGATATGCGGTATAGCTGAACTGGATAAACTAAACTGTCCATAGTCTATAATTGTGTGTGTGTGTCAGTTTAATTGAGAGTGAATACGCGTTTCCCAGCACTGGCGGTTCACGAGTTACTTCACGAGTACCTTCAGTGGTTGCTGCTGGACAGGCATCTGCAGCTCAAAAAATATATATGCCAGAGCAGGGCTTGACATTAACGTTTTTGATCACCAGCCACTGTGGCTGGTAGTTTTCCAACATTACTAGCCACTCGCCTTTTTCACTAGCCACAATTTTGTTGGGAAAATATACTATAATATTATATACATAAATATGACTTTGACATGATAAAATTACTTGATTTAGATTTTGCATTATCTCCACATGCCTCCTGATTCATTTCACTTTTTGTGTCGTGAATGAGCTTGCTGAATAATCATGAAAAAATGGATTATGGATTCATAGCATTACAGTTAGTTTTTATTTCACATAATTTTCAGAGCTCAAAATGAAGGATTTACCAAATTTATATCTCTGACCACACCCAACATAAAAATTTAATAATTTCTTAGCTACAAATTTTAAATGTGTCAAAACAAGCAAAATATAGCTGTATACTATACTTTTTATTTACCAAACATATGCACAGAAATCTGTCCTAGCTAAAGGTCCCAGATCACCAGTTAACTACACATAAATGGGGAATTAATCTCCCATTAAAGGGATGTTATTGTAAAAAAATGATAATTAAACCAAATTAACACATAAGAAAGCAGGTAAAAACATACCGTGTGATAATGAAAGGATGATCACACACAGAGGTAATGTTTGATCCTTAAATAATCTGTTCAAAGAATGGGTAAAGCGAAAGCAACTGGCACTTCTTACTATAAGCCAACTCTGGAACTCTTGAAAGCAGCAAGACTTTGGGTGCATGTTCATAACTTTTTGTGTAGTCTATTTGAAAGAGAACCGATCACATCAGTTGTGTTTCTAGACACATATGCTTCACGAAAGGAAATGGGAGTGCGCAACCGTTCTAAACAATCGCGCACATCACCTCTGCCGTTAGGGCGAGTGATTATCCTCTCATTCGGAATTCACCTGCTTTGCTCGAGCAAAGTTGCGAACGCAATTATTTTTGTCAGTCGTGCATGCACATTGGACCATCCTTATTGTTGAACCCTGCTTTTAAGAATTATTATCTGGGAAAATCATTTTTAACCAGCCAAAGTGGCTAGTGGGAGTGTCTGTCTTACCCGCCACTGCTGAAATCTACCCGCATTTGGTGAGTGTTAATGTAAAGCCCTGTGCCAGAGTAATTGGCAGTTTGTTCCACTTTGGCAACCACTGATAAATCATGAAATAAGCCCAAGGAAAGTGAGGGAGTGACCTTTAAAATTGTAGACAACATGTAGCTGTATATATTGTTTATTAAGAGTCAAATCAATCAAATCACAATTAAAAGCTTCAGAATCACTGTGGTTTGTTCAATAAAAACTGCAGCAGCAGCCGTAAGAGGGCTTCATTCCAGCCCAGCACATCCCCGTCAGTGACCCTCTCATATAAACCCATGCTTTCTGTGCCCCAGCATAAGTTTATCCTGCCATTTTGGCCATCAGCCCTTGGACTCAAAGCAAGAGTATTGAGCTGATAGCAGAAAAATGAGAAGAACTGTCCATCTGTGATGACAGCCTGAGACACAAACGGCCTGCTCACATCCTCTTCAGCCCAAAAGCCTTGTCAAAACAAAACACATTTAGTAATTAAAGACACAATATATAATTTATCACATTTTCAAAATAAATGATGAGGTAAGGTCCCCAATTACTTAAAATGACACAACAACATCAGGCTAAACATTTTATAACTATCACTTCTGCATTTGTCCAGCTATTTTACCATAGTTTCTACATACAGAAACTGAGTATAGTGCCATTTTAGCTATATTTAAAATGGGAATTTCTCTGGCTTAATACGTCCATGGGATAATGTAATTGCATAACTTCTACTTTAAGATATTTAATCACAAATTTCTTAAATATTGTGCCTTTAAAAGTCATTGTCCAACAACAAAGATAAAAACAAGATAATTTCAAATTAGAATTGGTTTTATAAGAATGCTGATATTATTAAAAATGACTAACCTTGATACATAGCCTGAGCCCCAGTCCATGCGAAAAGGCTGGCAATTGCATTTGCTCTCAGTGACACCTCCACCTGATTAGAGAGGCCTCTCTTGTTCATGTTATCTCTGCAAAACCTATCAGGAACAATGTGAAACTGTGTGTGACCATAGCAGCAAGGGTCTTCCAGTTTGGTGCCTGTGGGGTAAAGCAAACCAAACCAAAAACTTAATATATTGTTCACACGAAGCTGTGTGCTACCACAATTGCTTTGAGTAGTTTGATCTGGTGGTCAAATTCTTGTTAATAGGTTGTATGGACATGGCGTAATCGTTGGCATGCAAAATTCAGATAGAGGAAAATCATAATTAATACTTATAATATTCCTCCATCTAAATTTTGCCTGTCAACGAAAAATTATTATTAACAATGTTTTTACATATGTTTATATATTATATACATATGATGATTTGAATATGAAAATGTAGGGTTTTTAAAAGCTGGCATGCTCTCAAACCCTACCCATTCATTTCAATTAGTTTGATCTGATCTGAATTTAAAAGGTGGCTTGCATTTAAACCGTACACATAAACCTACCCCTAATTTGAGGATAACCAAATACTAAAAAATACCAATGTGACTGGACAAATTAATAATCAGCATCCCTTTAGATCAATGCTGTGTTAAAGCAAATGTTGCGCAGTAGAGTTATTTCCTCCCTTTCACAAAAAATATCCTTGCCACATGTATTGCGTTTAGCAATGTTGCTATCTTTTTCACAAAGTTTAAGCAATCTATTGAACTATTGCTATGGGAAGTATCAGTGCTAATTAGGGTTGTGTTGACAGACACAATGCTGAGCTGGCATTGGGGTCCTCCGCCCTGCCCCTATCGCAGCATCATCGCGCTTGTGAAAAATACACATGGCCCCGATTACACTAATACGTCTTAGTTTTAAAATTGCATTTTATAAGAAAAACGATCCTTGTCCACACTGGCGTTTCACCTAGCATTTCTGATAAGCCCTCCTTCCACATTATACCGCTGGAAATGCACATCACGTGACCACACACACACACACACACACACACACACACACACACACACACACACACACACACACACACAAAAACAAACACAAACACTCTGTCATGTGCTGTAGCGTCTGAGCTCCAGCAGTTAGCCCAGAGAACAATGAACGTCAGACAGTTTATCAAGTATGTACCGCTGGATGGCGTCTCACTACAGTTGTTACATGTGATATTTAAATAATCTTGTCTCTATCTAACGACTCTTTGGTCTTTTGAATCTATCAGATGACGTGTCACAGCATCAGCACACTATGATTTGGTTATGGGTAAAACAAAGAGCATGCAGGTCAAGTAGTTGAAACATTAGGCTACAAATAATAAGTTCATTATGAATTAATTAATTATTCATAAATAATTAATTCACCGTCGCTTACGACGATGATGCCATCGTCCATTGTAATGTTTCACATTCGACATCGTACTGTAAGGATCCAAAATATCAGACCCTGAGAACTGTTATGGAATTTCATGAGACAAGATGCAATGTTCCAATGCACTTTCTAATCTGAGAAGTGATGAAGAAACCAACTGTTCCACTGTTCTATTCAAATCACTGTTAACAATGCAAACACAGGCAGGAGAAACAGAGACACACTACATCAGGGAAGAATGCAGGAATGTATCCTGTACTTTCACCCCAAGCCCCTCTTCTTGACCCTTATGTTACCTTCTGATTAGAGCACATTTCACATAAAATGTTTAAGGTTTTAATATGGTGTATCTTGCAGCACTATATTCATGTTTGGTATCATTTTAAATGTCTCTGTGTGATTAGTAAAGTGGTTTTAATTTTACAGTAATATTTCACTGGTATATAATGATTTGGTTTTTGACTTCTATAAGATCTTGATAAGATGTTCTCCCTCCTCAGAGATGGTTAAGTCCTCAAATTCACCAGGCCAGGGTTTCTGTGACACCTCTATTGTCTTGAATTTATGGCTGTTTGTTTTGACTTGAGTATATAAGGTAACATGTGGTATAGGACAGGGGGAGGTCTTGTAAAAAGACACCCCATTGCAGCATCTCTGAGACTTATGCTGCAATGTATTTCTCTGGTCAGGTATGCATCTATAATTCTTTGATTTATCTTTGATTAATGGATGTTATATTGTTAGTCTCATCTCTGAATTGGCTTCCTGATGATTTATTATGTAATTGGCAGAATACAATTTTACCTGACAAATAAAATGTTAAGTTTTGAGAAAGTGAGAAGTGAGAGTGAGAAGTTGAAAATGAGAAGTGAAAGTGAGTTAAGTGAGAAGATGCGCAAACCCGGGGCATGGAACTCTGAGCGATGTTGGTCCCTAATGAACGTACAATTAGAATATCGGACCTCAGAAAATATCAAAACTCTAAATTAAATCATAAATGATGAATGTGATCCGTTCTTACAATTAGAAGTATAATCTAAATTTTAGGATCATTTAAGTTGGAGTCAGATTGAATTCGGAGCAAAAAAAAACTAATAAAAATTCATTCTAATAAATAATAAAATTCTTTTCATAAGCACTAGAAAAGGCTTACATGCATTAAACCTTCGACCATGCTGTTAGTTTCGTCATTAAGCTAATAGATGGACTCCTACAGTACAATGCCAAATTAGTCGACATCGCCTAACCCTAGAGCTGACTGTAAAGAACTGTCCATGCAGTTAATGAGACGTGGTTGAGGTTCTTGTCAAAAGTCTTGGCAGACACATACAACTGTAAAATGGCCATTCGTCACGTGAGAAGAACTGACAATGTTAGGAATTGATAACAAACTCAAAATTTGTGCATTATACCCAAACACACCAAACTAAACATTAAAGAAATTATAAACATTAAACACTAAACATTAATTACTTCTAAAATAAATTTATCAAAATCCTTCATTTATACTCTTGGAGATGACGTGTCTCAAGTAAAAATCCCAAAAGCTTCACATTGTAAATATCAATCACAAGTAGGGATGCACCGATCCCAATACTTAGATTGGATATCGGTTCGATACTGCATATTTTTGCTGGATCAGGTATCGGCCAGCTGGTACCAATCCAAATCCGATATAAGCCAACCAAGCCATGAAGGTAGCCTATTAATCATGCACTAGAAAGTTGTCATGCAGGCCTCCTATTTCCCAAATATTCTGAAGTAATTCTATAGTTTAACGTGAAGCACAGATGAATATGAAGTGCTTAAATTCATGCTCACTGCAGCGCATCTATCCACTGCACCTATCAATCATTTTTCATTCATTCACAACTCAAACTGTGTTTGCAAAACTTTCTCCAAGACTATTTGTTCCTGTTAGTTTAAATAATAAGTGGAGAAATGGATTTAGTTTTGCTTTAAATCTGTTTATTTAGACCTGCAACAAGGAGTTCATTGCTGTTTCTTAACCATGTTGCACTGTGTCTGTTAGATAAGATCGCATTTGAAACATTAGCGTAGAGGGTTATTACCTGCTCTTCACATACAAAGTAGGTGTACCTGCAATTTTAAATTAGAAAATGCTCAATAATACATTGGACAGATCCTCAACGCACTGATTTCTTCCCTTTGTGCTGCTCAATTTTGAAAGTGTTTGCAGATACCAGAAGGCTGCATGCTGTGTCAATTCAATTCACCTTTATTTGTACAACGCTTTTACAATGTAGATTGTGTCAAAGCAGCTTCACATAGAAGATTATAGTAAATTGAAACAGTGTCACACCCTGGCTCTGCAGATGCAATCTGCATCGCTCCCTAAGATTATTCTCACAATGAGTTATTGTTCTCTCATCCTTCCGACCGAGTTCATTCTTCTGAGATGAATACTTTAAGTCCTGCGAATAGTTTGTAAAGCCAGGCGCATTGTGGCAAAAGTAGTTGATTAAATTAAAAAAAGTGAAACTGACGTACGCAATATGGTTTGCCATTAACAGAAAAATGATTTAGCCTAAAATAGGCTACTCTGAAACTGTGAATATTTCACTGTAATTTTGTTTATATCATTATTTTATTCAACAGACCAGTTTGTGTTTTGGGGCTGAAGCATACAAGCGGACCTTGTTTTGAACTTTCTCCATCTCACTCACGGCACCACTAATCAAAAATTAAAATTTTTTTTGGCTTAGCAAATTTTTTAATGGGAATTATGCCAGGTCATCTAATACTAAAGAATTTAAATCAGTTTAGTTTTAAAAACCAGGCTCTTTAATAAATCCTTAATGTGAGAAGAGTGGGGGAATGTGTAAAAATATCCCCTTTGGGCGACCTATGGTGGCAGCTATTGGGTCACTTACAGAAAACATTTTGGCCTTTGTTAATTTCACTCACAAACTTTAGTTAGTTTTTTACCTAATTTTATCATAGACACAGAATTGTCATCATTAAATTAATTAATGTTAAATGACATGATGTTGTTGTCCTAGTTAATATGGATGCAGAATCACTTTATACCAATGTTCCATTTCAGGGTGGGCTAGAGATCAATTTTTTCTTAATCAGAGGGACTGTGTATTCCTAAGTACTACTTGTTTGAGTGATGAATTTTGTTTTAATACAGATGGTGGGAATTAATCAGTTGGCTAATGAGCTTAGACAGAGAATTCTGCATTGCATTTTTTCATAAGTGTTACTAAACCAAACAACATTTGTTTTTAAAATGAGTTGGCCCATTTAAAGTCCCCATGAACCGGAAGCTGCAATCGTTATTTTTTCATATTGTGGCAATTCCTAGAGAAAATGAATTTTAAATAAACAAACAGTGGGTGTGGTTTGTTTTTTCTACCAATGGCTGAATCGGTGTAGTAAATTATGCATTTTACTCAGAAAAATCGGTAAAGGGGTTTTAGAAAAGTTATGGGTTCCTAGACCTTTTCCAACTTCAAATTCCAGAACTTTTCAAGCACTTTCAAGGTGCATTTTTATAGTTTTCCAGCATCTAATAACCACAGTAATTTACGTTTATATATGCTGTACATACTTGTTCACATTTTAAGCCATTGTGCCATTTAAAAAAAAAGTGCAATATGACATTTCAACTTAAATTGTTGAATACTTTGGAGCATAGATTTATTAGGATAGTTAACCCAAAAATGGAGAAAAAATAAATTCAGTTATTGGATGATGGATCTTAAGTTAG